TCTATTTTAGAGCAGGGGTCTCCAAACTTTGTGAACAAATGACCGGTGTACCAGTTGGGAGTAGTGAATGCCCTGACGTCTGTGGGAGGGAACAATCCCTCAGTGCGTTTGGAGCATACGTCAGTGCACATGTGGGTGCTTTATGTAGCTCCTAGCGCACAACCCCGTACAGGTCCTGGGAATGTCATTACACAGGCTCTGCACTCTGGCTCCTGTATGGCTGTGCATGAATCCTAACACTAGTGGATAGTTGTAGTATCAAAGGACTATTGCATATCGGGAACTCCCCAGAAGAGTAACTTTGCTTTGACCGTTCCTGTATTTAGTGTTCAGTCCGTTCTGTGTTCTGCAGTCTTCACATCATGTACTGGTGGATCTTACTTTTATACTACAGAAAAGATGTGCGGCCATATTAAATCAAGAAACCTGATCTGCTGACAGACAAAGCTGCCCTTTCAGCAAACGCCGGAACTATATTCATTTATTTTTAACAGTTGCTGAACTGTTTTAATTTGGATAGAAATCTGTGTGTTTGGTTTTTTTTTTTTTTTTTTTTTTTTTTTTTTTTTTTAATGCATGCTTTTTTTGTTTTTCCAGAATTTCAAGTCTAACTGGTTTACATGTTTCCGTACTTGGTCTCTTGTATTCTGGTCTTGTGTCTAAATCTGCTCTCCCCTTTGTGGCCCTTGGGGAATACTGCCCAGGAACGTAGGGAAACACTTGGGTTGTATCGCGCACATGGCAGTATAGAACATTGTATAAAAAACTGGCTAAAAGATGGTATTCGGAAAGTAGTGGTTAATGATTAATACTCTGAATGGTCTAGGGGTGTCAGTGGGGTACCCCAAGGTTCAGTGTTATTAGTGGTGTACCCCAAGGTTCAGTGTTAGTGGGGTACCCCAAGGTTCAGTGTTAGTGGTGTACCCCCAAGGGTTCAGTGTTGGGACCCTTACTTTTTAATATATTTATAAGCGATATATTGTCTGGGATTATAAATCCCATTTCAGTCTTTGCAGATGACACCAAGCTGTGCCGGGGAATAACGTCCTTACAGGATGTCTCCAACTTACAAGCCGACCTCAATGTTCTGTGTAATTGGGGGACTATGGGGACAATGAGGGCTAATGGTGATAAATGTAAGGTTCTGCACTTGGGGGCTCAGAATATGCATGCATCATACATACTAGGGGGAGTATAACTGGTTGATTCAATGGTGGAAAAGGATCTGGGGGGGAATCAATGGTGGAGAAGGATCTGGAGGGGAATCAATGGTGGAGAAGGATCTGGGGGGGAATCAATGGTGGAGAAGGATCTGGGGGGGAATCAATGGTGGAGAAGGATCTGGGGGTTCTGGTAGATCACAAGCTTAATAATGGCATGCAATGCCGAGCTGCAGTTTATAACGCGAGGAAAATCCTCTCTTGTATTAGGAGAGGTATAGACTCCAGAGAGAGATATATCATCCCCCCCCCCCCCTTCCCAGTACAAATCATTAGTAAGACCTCATCTGGAATAGCAGTTCAGTTTTGGGCTCCAATTCACAAAAAGAACATTGGGGAACTGGAGAAAGGGCAACCAAACTGATACGAGGCATGGAGGAGATCAGCTATGAGGAAAGATTAGAGGAACTGAATTTATACTCTCTTGAGAAGAGATTAAGGGGGGGATATGATCTCCATGTATAATACATAAGGGGGATATGATCTCCATGTATAATACATAAGGGGGGATATGATCTCCATGTATAATACATAAGGGGGGATATGATCTCCATGTATAATACATAAGGGGGGATATGATCTCCATGTATAATACATAAGGGGGGATATGATCTCCATGTATAATACATAAGGGGGATATGTGATCTCCATGTATAATACATAAGGGGGGATATGATCTCCATGTATAATACATAAGGGGGGATATGATCTCCATGTATAATACATAAGGGGGGATATGATCTCCATGTATAATACATAAGGGGGGATATGATCTCCATGTATAATATAGGGGGGATATGATCTCCATGTATAATACATAAGGGGGGGATATGATCTCCATGTATAATACATAAGGGGGGGGGGGGGATGTGGTCTCCATGTATAATCTCCATGTATCCATGTATAATACATAAGGGGGGATAAGATCTCCATGTATAATACATAAGGGGGGGGGGGGATATGATCTCTTTGTATAAATACATCAGTGGTTCATATAGTGAACTCGGTGTAGTTATTCCCCCTGAGGTCAACACAGAGGACAAGGGGGCACTCTTTACATCTGGAGGAAAATAAATTTCACCCCCAAACACGGAAAGGTTTCTTCACAGTAAGAGGTGTGAGAATGTGGAATAGACTCCCTCAAGAGTTGGTTGTGGCCAGCTCAGTGGATTGCTGTAGGAAAGTCCTGGATTCTTTCTTGGATACACAGAATATAACTGGATATAACATTTATAGGTGAAGTTGATCCAGGGAATATCCGATTGCCTCTCGGGGGATCA